TGTTTGTCGTCGTCGTTTTGATTTCTTCGTCTCTCACTGTTCGCTTTTTGCTCACTGTGTATGTAGTGATTCCTGTCTTTTTATGGATAAAACTCCTACGCTTCTATTTCTTCATTCCTTTTATTGTTAGCGTCATTATGCATATACCCAATTATTCATTATTATCGTTAGCACTCTTCATTATACTAATCACTGCTGTTGTTATCATAACTATAATGAATATTTATTCTCTTTTGTCATTTCCCTTTCTCCTACTAAACCTAATTCTTATCTTCCTCGTCGTTCCGGAGACTATTCTTCCTGCTGTTCCTCATCCTCGTCATTAATTTTACAGCCATTTCTGTCACCATCCTCACTCCCATTCTTACCATCACCATTAAGAAAACTGCCATCGCCAGCAATCAATGCTCATTATCCTCACCATCGTCACCAACACCATCGTCCTCGGAATCCTCCCCTTCCTCCCCACCTTTCCATTCACGTTCCCCCTTCTCACCTGGACGGACTTACAAGACAACAAGCAAAGAGCAGGGAACAACGTGCCACACACTTACCAGTCCTCCTGGAGGTGAGCAAGGTACGCCCCCTCCCCCTCCAAACCCATACCATCCTCCCTTCCCTCCCACCCCTCACCCTCTAAGTTGCCTTACCCCCCACCCCACCCCACTCCTTACAGCTAGTCGGCTCTTTCCGACTTGCCTTATGCATTAATATGCGTTGACAACTGAGTCCATAGTCACCCTTTGCCTGTCACATTTTCATATTTGCGCGCTCTCTGTTTCTCTGTCTGCCTCTCTCTCTTACTCATTTCTTCTATTCCTACGTTATTCTGCTTCTGTCAGCTGATCTGATTGTTCGAAAGAAACTGCCTTTCCACTCTGATTCATCCTACTTATCCACTGACGAATGTCCTTATGCTCTCATATCAAGCTTGGTGAACTCTTGCGCTCATCATTACTAGTCTACTTGTCTTTCACTAATTTGAGTCAGTTGCTCATGCCTTTTAAGCATTTTTATTTCCATATTTACTCCTTTTAGCCTTATACTCCCCCCCCCCTCCCTCGCCAATCCCCATCCTCTCAGCCCAGATTTGTCGCCCTCACTGCGACGCGACAACAACGGGCGGGCAAAAAGGGCGTGGTTGGTTGCATACTCAAGATTATGTGGGCGGTAGGATGGAAGAGGGATGGGGTGTGGAAGGGGAGGGGGAAGGGAAGGGGGGGAGGAGAGGGAGTGTAAGAGACGAAGGGAGAGACAGAGAGTGAGAAGGAGAGAGGAGAGGAAGAGGGATAGGGAGAAAGAGTTCAGGAGGAGAGTGGGAGAGGGGAATGGGAGAGGGGAGTGGGAGAAGGGAGTGGGAGAGGGGAGGGAGAGAGGGAGTAAAGGAGTGATGGGGGAGGAAGAGGGGAAGGACAGGAGTGATGGGGTGGGGAGAGCGCACACTAAGCCCCTGATCTTCCTCTCTTGGATCCAGAGGCGAAACGGGCCAGTTTAACAAGCCGGCAAGCTATAAAACAAACAATCAAAACCAAACCACAAAGGCTACGGTACCTCCGTCCCTCGCTCCCTCCAACCACAGCCATGCCAAAACAGACCCTCCCCGTATGCCATCCCTCCCCTTTCCTGCTGCGCCCCCTCCCTCTATTCAACGCCCTACTCCCTCCTCGGTTCACCATTCGTATCTCTTCCCATTGACCATCTGACCCTCACTCTTCAATCCACGCTTCCCCCCCCCCCCCTTCATCCAAGGCCCCGCCCCTCCACCCCGAAATCCTTTTCTGAAATCCGTTCGCCAATCGGTGCTCATGACAGTATGTCGGTCACGCCGTTAGCTACACGAACACATGCACGAGTTCTCTTCCCTCTCATTTTCTACATTCCTATCTCCCTTACCTTTTCTTTCCTGATAATTTTACCCCGTTTTAGTTTTCTACATGATGAGGAAATGGGAGGAGGAGGAAATGGGGGGAGGAGGAGGAGGAGGAGGAGGAGGAGGAGGAGGAGGAGGAGGAGGAGGAGGAGGAGGAGGAGGAGGAGGAGGAGGAGGAGAACATGGAAAGGGACTGGAACGGAGACACGGACAGGGACGGGGGCTTGAACGGGGAAGGGGACATGGAAGGGTTAGGGAACGGGGACGGGGACATGGAAGGGAAGGGGACGGAACGGGAACGGGAACGGGAACGGGAACGGGAACGGGGAAGGAACAATGTTCTAATAGCCTCCCGATCCTAATTTACGGAACGACTAGAGAAACTCAAGCATAGGAACAGGTTGCGCGCGCGCTCTTCCTACCGCGGGCCGAACACTGGTCACGCAAAGGGTCACGAAGTGCGCCGAAGGTAATACTCAACTCCCGGCCATCGCCAATACTACCTTTACTAAGGCAGCTCTCTAATAACTCTTGTTTGTTTTACTATTAAGGCTTTATACTTTTGATTCTGTTACCAGCAGTACTTCTTACTGAGCAACAACGACAATGGAATGGGACTGCCACAACAACAGAAGCGGATTTATTACATCAGAACAAACCCTCCCAAAAACTCAAAACAAAAACTGAACAATAAAAAACTAGCGGGCGCAGAGGTAGGTGTATCGTCCTTGCGTGCCATGGGTGCCAAGGGTGCCACGGCCCAGTAAACAAGTACCCGCCTTTTGCCATAGCCCTCTCGCCCGCCATGCTTTGAGTCATCACAGGGAGGGGGAGGCGAAAGGGACGAGGGGGAGGGGGGCGGGAGAGGAGGAGGAGAAAAGGGAGGAGGAGGAGGAGGAGGGGAAGAAAAGGGAAGAGGAGGAGGAGAAGAAAAGGGAGGAGGAGGAGGAGGAGGAGAAGAAAAGGGAGGAGGAGGAGGAGGAGAAGAAAAGGGAGGAGGAGGAGGAGAAGAAAAGGGAGGAGGAGAAGAAAAGGGAGGAGGAGGAGGAGAAAGAGGAAGAAAAGGGAGGAGGAGGAGGAGGAGGAGGAGGATATAGAGGAGGAAGAGGAGGAGGAGGAGGAGGAGGCGAGAGAGAGAGAGAGAGAGAGAGAGAGAGAGAGAGAGAGAGAGAGAGAGAGAGAGAGAGAGAGAGAGTGTGTGTGTGTGTGTGTGTGTGTGTGTGTGTGTGTGTGTGTGTGAGTGTTTGTGTGTGTGTGTGTGTGAGTGTTTGTGTGTGTGTGTGTGTGAGTGTTTGTGTGTGTGTGTGTGTGAGTGTTTGTATGTGTGTGTGTGTGAGTGTTTGTATGTGTGTGTGTGTGAGTGTTTGTATGTGTGTGTGTGTGAGTGTTTGTGTGTGTGTGTGTTTGTGTGTGTGTATTTGTGTGAGCGTTAATCACCTATTTATGTTTCTAAAACTTGGGGATTAACATTTTACCTGTAGAAGTACCGTTAAATGTTGAAATATTATATGATTATTCATGAGAAAAAACTCGTCTTTGCCAAAATCATGGGCCATGATTGTGTATGTATATATGTGTATGTGCGCATATGTATATGGATACGTATATAGATGAGCATACAGATAGGGAGATCGTTACCACAATTATGGGCAGATGGACGGCTTGCTGTGACTAAACGGCTACCGTCTATATCATAAATAACAGTGGTGATGCATAGACACAACCGTTGCAGACAGCTGCAAAGAACGCAAGAAAACGGCGAGGGAGAAAAAGCAAAGCCCAAGCCAACAGAATTCATTCCAAGTAAGGCGACAAAACCGCGACGAAGCCGCGCAATCGCAATGTGCGAGATAAAACAGAAAATAAATAAAAGCGAAATACAAGGACACCAGACACCGGCACAGAACAATAAACGCGTAAAACAACACAATATGCACAGGTGTTCGTCAGCCACCCATGACACCTGCGAGGCCTCGCACCTGCCGCCTCGGCCTCGCACGCCTGCCATTAAGCGGACAATGCGACCAAACAGATAAGGAGGGGGGGGGGGGGGGTTGGAGAAAGGGGGAGGGAGGGGGGGGAGAAAGGGGTAGGAAAGAGGGGGGTGGAAGGGAGAAAGGGGGAGGAAGGGGGGGAAAGCAAGGAAAGGGAGGAAAACAAGGAAAGGGAGAAAGGAAGGAGAGAAGGCGGAAAGAGGAAAGGGAGAAACGGGGGGAGGAAAGGGAGAAACGGGGGGAGGAAAGGGAGAAACGGGGGGAGGAAAGGGAAAAACGGGGGGGAGGGGAGAAAAGGGGGAGGAAAGAGAGAAGAGAGAAAAGAGACGGGAGTGCAGTGGAGTGGAGGAAAGGGGGGGAGGAGTGTATTGGAGTGGAGGGGGCTAGGGGACCGGGCAGGGTAAAAAGGGAAGACTAGTGCCCAGTTCTCCCCTTCCTTCTCTTCCTATGTCCAGTTTCCCATTTGTTCTGTGCTTTGCGCCAACCGGCCTGTCTCTGTCTCCCCTCCCTTTACTGACCCCCCATTCCGTCCCCCCTTCTCCCCCAGTCTGCCCATCCTTCTACCTCTTCCGCTTTCTTCTCATCCCTCCCTCACATCAATTACCTTATTCCCTGCCTCCCTCCTTCCCTATCTCCTGCCCTTGAGCCACGCGCACATCCCTCGCCGGCTTGGTCTCGCCTCGTACATTCGTTCATCGAATGTGCACATGCGACTCGCACACTGTGCACCCTTAAATACGCAGCACACATACTGTTATTACAGGACGTTAGGTCTCGGATTCCAGAGGTCTTTGACTCGTGTACGCACGCATGTATGTGTGTGAGTATGGATATGCGTGTGCGTGTGTATATACATTGCTAATATTAATATATGTACGCACGCACAAACACACACAAACGGGCGCCCTACAAAGCCACTTCTCGCCGCGTCAGCAGCTCCCTCCGTCAGTTGGCTGATGAAAAAATACCCTAAAATAGCCCGGAGGAGAACCTGTCTCTGCTGCCTCTCGGCCGACACTCTGCCTGCCTGCTGCAACTTGCCTAACATTACCCCCCTCCAAAAAATAATAATACTGAAATATCATTGTAATTCGGTTTTGCACGACCTGCAAAGCCAAAGTGCAGTCGCATCCGAAACGCGATCGGCAAGTGAAAACAAGTTATGTAAGTATTCCACTTCAATCTGTGCCTTCAGAGGGGGAGGAGGGAGGGGGGGAGAGAAGGGGAGCGGGAAGGGAGAGGGAGAAGGGGAGGGGACGGGGAAGAGGAGGTGGATGGAGGAAGAGAGAGGGGAAGAGGACAGGGCTGACTGAAGGGGAAGGGGTGAGTGTAGGAGGAAACGGGGGGGGGGAGGGAAACGGAGGAGAAAGGTTAGGGTAAGGGGGAAGGAGCGGGAGGAGAGAAGAGGAAGGGAGAAGGCTGAGCAGAAACAGGAGGGGAAATGAATGAAAGTGGAAGGAAAGGGGGAGAAGATGGAGAAAGGGGAGGGGTAGGTAAGGGGAGAAGGCAGGTAGGGGATAGGAGGAGGGGGATTCATTTGCATTTACGCTCTGCCCCCTTGCCCCTTGGCTCTACCCCTCCCCCCGCGTTATCTCCACCGACAACGCATTAACTCTCACTCACACCTGTTGGAAGGCTCCCCCGCTCCTTCTCTCCCTTTCCACCCTTCCTTTGTCCTCCTCTCAAGCTGACGTTCGAATGAACAGCTTGGCATTCTATTATTGCTACCGCCTCTACTACTACTGTAATATCACTATATAAATACTACAGTTACTATAACAACAGCTACTACAACTAATAATAATAACAATAATAATAATAATCATAATTATGAAGATTATCTATTAACACAAGAAACTACAGCCATCATTCATTGACCAAACCAATTTCTCTCTGCTACCCTTGTATAAGTCCTGAATCAACCTTGAAACACTAAATTTGTCCTCATATCCCACGCCTTTCAACCTGTGCTCACCCTAAATTCACCCTAAATTACTCTGCCTTCGTCGTCACTGACTCCTTTGAGCCTCTGGCCGGACTTGCTTTTTCACTCGGATCGTTAACTCACCTGCAAAAAAAAGAAAGAAAACGAAGACATTAATATCATCTCTGCTTTATAAGTTGAACAAATACACAAAATACAAACGCAAAAGTAAAAGAAACACGCAAGGAATATCAATAATCCGACGTTAGTTATAAAGATAAATGTAAATACAAATAAAAAGTTGCCTTAAGCCTTCAGCAGGGGAGGGGGAGGAAGGGTGAGAGCGAGAGGAGGAGGAGGAGGAGGAGGAGGAGGAGAGGAGGGGGAGGGGAAGGAGAATGGGAGGAAGAGAAGCGTGGGGATAGAGGAAACAGGGTATAGGGAAGCAAGATAGGGAAACCTAAGAAGAAAGACGAAAGCAAAGCAAAGGGGTGGGGGTGGGGTTGGGGGACGGTCTCGACCGACCAAGACGCCAAGTGACGCAACCTCCCGCCGGACACGCGTACGCCCGGCGGAGCGGTGAAACACCGTTATACGGCATAGGCGGCGGCGATGGAGGAGGCGGCGGAGGCGGCGGTGGAGGAGGCGGCGAAGGAGGCGGCGGAGGCGGCGGTGGAGGAGGCGGCGAAGGAGGCGGCCTGTCATCGCACATCGGCCACCCTCTCGCCAATCTCTACTCCTTCCACTGCTCTCCATCTCTCTCTCCTTTGCCCCTTTATCTTTTATTCTACATTCCATCGCACTACCTCTCTTTCCTTCCTTTTTCCCAGTGCCTCTCCTTTCTTCCCTCCCACTTCCTTTCCTCCTCTCCCTCTCGTCCGCCTGCACGGGGGTCGATACTCGCGGGCGGACGGGGGCGGAGCCAGGGCAGGGATGGGGCAAGGGGGAGGGGAAAGAATAAGGGAAAAAGGAGGGGCAGGGAAGAGGAGGGTAGGGGAGAGGGGGAAGGGAAGGGTAGGGGAGAGGGGGAAGGGAAGGGTAGGGGAGAGGGGGAAGGGAAGGGTAGGGGAGAGGGGGAAGGGAAGGGTAGGGGAGAGGGGGAAGGGAAGGGTAGGGGAGAGGGGGAAGGGAAGGGTAGGGGAGAGGGGGAAGGGAAGGGTAGGAGAGAGGGATGAGGGGGTAAGGGGAGGGTAGTAGAGAGGGGAGGGGGAGGGGCAGGGTAGTAGAGAGGGGAGGGGAGGGGCAGGGTAGTAGAGAGGGGAGGGGGAGGGGCAGGGTAGTAGAGAGGGGAGGGGGAGGGGGCAGGGTAGTAGAGAGGGGAGGGGGAGGGGCAGGGTAGTAGAGAGGGGAGGGGGAGGGGCAGAGTAGTAGAGAGGGGAGGGGGAGGGGGCAGGGAAGTAGAGAGGGGAGGGGGAGGGGGCAGGGTAGTAGAGAGGGGAAGGAGGGGGAAAGAGGAAAGAGTAGGGGAATAATTGAGAGGGGAAAGGTGGTGGAGAGGGGGGCGGGGGACTGGGGAAGGATATAGGAGAGGGGAAGGGGAGAGGGGAGGGGAGAAGGGCAGGGGAGAAGGGAAGGGAAGAGGGAAGGGGAGAAGGGAAGAGAAGAGGGAAGGGGAGAAGGGAAGAGAAGAGGGAAGGGGAGAAGGGAAGGGAAGAGGGAAGGGGAGAAGGGAAGGGAAGAGGGAAGGGAAGAGGGAAGGGAAGAGGGAAGGGGAGAAGGGAAGGGAAGAGGGAAGGGAAGAGGGAAGGGAAGAAGGGAAGGGAAGAGGGAAGGGAAGAGGGAAGGGAAGAAGGGAAGGGTAGAAGGGAAGGGTAGAAGGGAAGGGAAGAGGGAAGGGAAGAGGGAAGGGAAGAGGGAAGGGGAGAAGGGAAGGGAAGAGGGAAGGGGAGAAGGGAAGGGGAGAAGGGAAGGGAAGAGGGAAGGGTAAGAGGGAAGGGAAGAAGGGAAGGGAAGAAGGGAAGGGAAGAGGGAAGGGAAGAGGGAGGGGAGGAGGGAAGGGAAGAGGGAAGGGGAGAAGGGAAGGGAAGAGGGAAGGGAAGAAGGGAAGGGAAGAGGGAAGGGTAGAAGGGAAGGGTAGAAGGGAAGGGAAGAGGGAAGGGGAGAAGGGAAGGGAAGAGGGAAGGGGAGAAGGGAAGGGAAGAGGGAAGGGGAGAAGGGAAGGGAAGAGGGAAGGGGAGAAGGGAAGGGAAGAGGGAAGGGAAGGGAAGAGGGAAGGGAAGAGGGAAGGGGAGAAGGGAAGGGAAGAGGGAAGGGAAGAGGGAAGGGAAGAGGGAAGGGAAGAGGGAAGGGAAGAGGGAAAGGACAGAAATGGAAGGGGACAGACAGGGAGGGTAAAGAGTCGTCGAAGGAGAAAGAGAGGAGGAGATGGGCGTGAGAAACAGAAGGGATGAGGTCAAGACATCAAAAGGCATGACAGCGTCAGCGGGGTTTCGTAGTATTGAGGCGGTTGAAGGGGGGGGGGGGGTGCTAAGGAAGGAAGAACACACAGCTGTTTGAGAGACAGAGCGTGGCCGTGGGCGTGAGTGCGTGCGGCGCAGGGCGTAGGGACTGCTAAGGTGATATGACTCACATCAAACCAAACAGGCGCATTCTCTTCGGCCAAGATCATTCTTGACGAAAAAGAATGATCTCTCTCTCTCTCTTTCTCTTTCTCTTTCTCTTTCCCTTTCTCTTTCTCTTTCTCTTTCTCTTTCTCTTTCTCTTTCTCTTTCTCTTTCTCTTTCTCTTTCTCTTTCTCTTTCTCTTTCTCTTTCTCTTTCTCTTTCTCTTTCTCTTTCTCTTTCTCTTTCTCTTTCTCTCTCTCTTTCTCTTTCTCTTTCTCTTTCCCTTTCTCTCTTTCTATTTTTCTATTTCTCTCTTTCTGTCCATTTCTTCTCTTCCACTTCTCTAGTCCATTTCTGACCCCTCGTTCCGTCTCTCTCTCTCTCTTTCTCTTTCTCTTTCTCTTTCTCTTTCTCTTTCTCTTTCTCTTTCTCTTTCTCTTTCTCTTTCTCTTTCTCTTTCTCTTTCTCTTTCTCTTTCTCTTTCTCTTTCTCTTTCTCTTTCTCTTTCTCTTTCTCTTTCTCTTTCTCTTTCTCTTTCTCTTTCTCTTTCTCTTTCTCTTTCTCTTTCTCTTTCTCTTTCTCTTTCTCTTTCTCTTTCTCTTCTCTTTCCTTCTCTTTCTATTTTTCTATTTCTCTCTTTCTGTCCATTTCTTCTCTTCCACTTCTCTAGTCCATTTCTGACCCCTCGTTCCGTCTCTCTCTCTCTCTTTCTCCCTCGGTCTCGCCCGGCCTTAAGCCCGGAGAGAGGCACGGTCGTCGAGCTAGAAAAGGCCCCTGAGCGTCGCTGTCTCCACCAATGCTTTTCCGGATACACAGAAAAGAGAAAAAGGAAAGAATCAGGACCGGTGCGACACAAACCCGTTTCCTTCCCTCCTCTGCTCTCACGTCGCGCCTTATCCTCCATATTCAATCCTTCCTTTCCATACCAGTGCCTCATCACTCTCACTCACTCATTCTACTCATCTCCAAGAATCAACAATGAAGAAAATCATATGGGCCATTAACGGATGTTCCACCGTCTCTCTTTTCTCGTCTCTCTTGCTTTCCTTCCTTTTCCTCATTCAGACACAGCGACCACTAAGCGTCGTCGGAGCGACCTACAAGTTGGTCTCGGGGGCAGCATTCCTTCCCTCTCCCCCACCCCTACTCCTGCCCCCTATTATTTTCTCCTCTCCCTTTTTTCCTCCTCCTTCCTCCCTTCCCCTTCCTGTCCTCCCTTCAGACTCCCCTTCTCCGTCTCCCACTCCCTCCCCCTCCCTCCCCTCCCCCATCGGACTCGCGGCGTCAGCCATGGCAGGACGCAGCACCGCCACACTCCCCTGGCCACTCCCCCCTCATGACTGACCAATCAACTACTACCAACTAGACTGACGAGAAAACGACTGGTAAACGGACTGATTGGCTGAATAACGGATAAGCTCACTGGCTAATCAACTGCTGAATTGCATGGCTGAAAGACTGGTAAACAGACAAAGAATGACTGCTAAATTGCCCGACTGACCGGGGGAATGAATGGATGAATGACTGACTGACGGATTCACTCGACGGATGAATGAATCTGTGGTAAACTGACTGCCTGGTTGGAGGTTTGAAGGACCAATTGGCCAAAGGACAACGAGTAAATGGGTAACTAAAAGAATGAATGGCTTGTGAATTTATTGAATAACTAAATGAATGTGTGATTAGCAGACTGCTGAATGGCCGATTAATTGGCACACTGACTAAACGAGCGAACGACTAAATGAGTCATTCACCCATTCGTTCACATACTGACTTTCCTTTGCCGTCGGACTTTATTCATTCATTCTACAACCCTCCGACTTGAGAAGTAACCCTGACGAGGAGTGACGTCACAGATAACAGATACAGAAACAAAAGAATAGGAAATAAATTAAAGGGAAAGAAATGTTATACAGATATGAAAACAGCTAAAAAAATCGAATAAAGGAGCACCAATGGAAGTACAAGAAATGAAGATAAACAAAACTAAAGAAGGTCAAGGTTACGAGGCCACCGAAGCCAAATAATGTCGGGAGGAAGAAAGGACAGGCTGCGAGAAAACAGAAAGAAAGAGGGAGAGGGGGAGGGGAGGGATGTAGGGGGAGAGACAGAGAAAGAGGGGAGAGGGGGTGGGGGAGGGAGGGAGGGAGGAAGAGAGGGAGAGAAAGAGAGCGAGAAAGTGAGAGTAACTAAAAGTGTATTAGATGAGGGAGAAGGGAACGAAAAAAAACGAGGAAAGAAAAGGATGTACAAGGGAAAGAGAAAACCAATAGAGACTGGTAGAGAAAGATGCGGAGAGGAAAGTAAGATGGGGAAGGCAGGTGAAGAGGGGAGGGAGGGAGGGAGGGAGGGAGGGGGGAAGGGAAGGAAGGAGGAGGGGAGGGAAGGAAGGGGGAGGGAAGGAAGGGGGAGGGAAGGGAAGGGAGAGAGAGGGGGAGGGGGAAAGGAAGGGAGAGGTGGGGGGAAGGGAAGGGAGAGGGGGAGGGAAGGGAAGGAAGAGGGAGGGGAGGGGAGGGAAAGAAGGGGGAGGGAAGGGAAGGGAAGGGAAGGGACGGGGAGAGGGAGGGAAGGGAGGGGAAGGGAGAGAAAGGAAGAGGGAGATGGAGGGGAAGGGAGAGAAAGGAAGGGGAGGGAAGGAAAGGGAGAGAGAGGGAGGGGAGGGAAGGATAGGGGAGAGGGAGGGGAAGGGAGAAAAGGGAGAGGGAGGGGAGGGGAAGGGAGGGGAGGGTAGGGAGATGGAGGGGAAAGGAAGGAAGGAAGGGGGAGGAAAGGGAAGGATGGGGGAGGAAAGGGAAGGGAAGGATGAGGGAGGAAAGGGAAGGGAAGGATGGGGGAGGAAAGGGAAGGGAAGGAAGGGGGAGGAAAGGGAAGGGAAGGGAAGGGAGAGGAGGGAGACGGGTGAAGGCAGGGGAGGGATGAGAGAAGGTAAGGGGGAGGAGGACAGAGAATATGGAATAAGCAGCTGAAGGGATGGTGAGGGGGTAGGAGGGGAGCGGCGAGGGAGACCCCAGGGGAAGGGGAAGGACAGCTCCTGAGATAAGAGGAGCGACGATAGCCGGACCCGTGATTCAGGCAGACACTTGGCGGCCACTGATACCGCCTCCAATCCCCGATAACACGCCCGTCACGCGATAAGCGTAGCCGGACGGGGAGAGGGGGCAGGAGAAGGGGGGTGGGAGAACTAAAGGGGGGGGGTAAAGGGAGGCTACGACGGGTAAAAATCAGGGAGGATGGACGGATGGATGGACGGATGGATAGGTGGGAGGGAGGAAGGGGTGGGAGGTACACAGAAGGGATGAAGGACAGAGCGCGCCGGAAACACTATCGGAGGAAGAACAAAGCAAAAGCAAAGAGCACAAGAAAAGGCAAAGCCACACACGAACCGGATCTAGTTTCGTGACACGCGCCTCTCTAGTACAGTCGCCCCGATGCCCCGCACGCATACATACAACCTTACAATACTACAACCAGAGCTGTTTCTAGATTATCCCCAATTCCTATTAACATTTTCCTCAAAAGGTGTAAAAAGGCAATATCAATATCAAATCAATATTCGTGTTGCGAAAGCCGCCGACCTCCCCCGCGCCCTTTTCCTCGCACCACAACGGCCATCCTCACCCCCCCCCTTCTCCTCCTCCCACTACTACTTCACCCAAAATCCAGCCTTCCACCCCATCCCTCCTCCCTCGCCCTCTTCCTTCCACCTTAGCCGTGTCCTCCGCCACCGCCCCTGTGCCCTCCCCCATCCACCCTTCGCAGCCACTCCCCCCATCCCCCTCCTTCCTTTTCCTCCAACTGCCTCCTATCACACCGGATCGTTAATTGCCTCATTGGACTGTAATGATTGCGAGGCGCCGCGCGCGCAGGATCATTCCCTCGCTCTACCATGCCCGAGGAGGAGGAGGAGGAGGAGGAGGAGGAGGAGGAGGAGGAGGAGGAGAAGAAGAAGAAGAAGAAGAAGAAGAAGAAGAAGAAGAAGAAGAAGAAGGAGGAGGAGGAGAAGAAGAAGAAGAAGAAGAAGAAGAAGAAGAAGAAGAAGAAGGGAAGGCAGAAAAAAAGGTAGGGAGAAGAGGATGATAAATAAATTGAAGAGGTAAAGGAAGGTGAAAGAGCTGCTGTGGACAACCTCAGCCAAGGCGCCCCTGCCCTGCCCTGCGCCTCCCGTGGGT